AGAGAGAGAGAGAGAGAGAGAGAGAGACACGAGGCACGAGGACGAGAACAATAAAATCCGGCTACGATGCTGCACGTAGCATGACTAAATGTTGCATTTACGCTCGGTCGTTATCACCGTTATCGGATGTTCGATAAAAGGGAACGTTAAGGAAAAGAAAATCATACGATAGCTTAACACCTTATCGATATGGTGACATAATTACACACCGCGATTTTTCACGATTTCTCACGATCGCCTCCCCGCCTAATTATGCGTGTTTCGCGAGTCGCGTAAGATGGAACGATTCGTTTTCTCCGAGTTTTATCGCTCATTCGTAAATCGAGATGTATCTCTATAATTGAAAACTAGACATTTTCATGTTTTCGAACTGAGTACTCAAATAATGCCATTATCAGAAGAAGAAACATTTCGATCTGTTTTTTTTTTTTCTTCTTCTTTCCTGTAGATAAGCAGAGATTTCATGTATTTTTGCTGCGTCGTCTATCATCGATTCGACGGATCGATGGATAAACGAGGAGATATACGAGGAAACTTCAGGAAACAGAATTTTTGAATGATAATCTTCGACTATCAAATGCGAAAAATTAAAACGTCGCCGCTATCGTGGAAAATGAGCTTAAGTATCAGATGGCTTTAGATAACGATAGATCCTATGAAATTGTTTTCTATATATTATCAAATTTTTTAGAAAAAAAAGAACACACTTGAGTTAGTTTTTACCGATTGTGAATTTTACTCTGTTATTCTGTTCGTAACGAAACCAAAAAAATAAATAAATAAATAAATAAATAAAATAAATAAGATAGAAATGCGAAACTAGAGCGTCACTATTGACAGAATACGCAACAAACCAAAAACGCAATAAACTGATTAACATGGTTTAGGCTAGGTTTACGTTAAAGTACCGCGATTAAACAGCGAACTAATAGCCTCGTGTAATAATCCATAATAGAACGATAACAATTGCCTATCTGAAAAATTTCGAAGTAAATGCATAGTGATTAGGGAATGGAAACGATAACGATTATTATTATTTCTTCTTTTTTTTTTTT